TCACAATTTATTGTTTCTTATCTGTGAAATTAAAGTAAATCAAAGCTTTGTTTCCACTGAGGGAAATGGTTTCAGCTTTCAGAGACAGACATTCTCTCCCTGCTGTATGACAAACGTCATCTGAGTGGTGGTGGCGACTTAAAGTTGACGTTTCGTAACACTGGCTAAAAGGTGCAGCAGGATAGATTTTACAAGTCGAGCAGCTTATTTCACCGTTACCTCGGAGCACAGGTCCTTTTGTCCCGACTGCGCCCTGGGAAAGATCTCTGTTCGACCCATACATGTTTTCTATTGTCCCTGGGACAACGCTGTTAGTCTCGAGCTCTGCTTTTGAGCCTGCACAAAACTGATGAGACAAAACAGAAAAACATCGACCACTGCCACAGGTAAAGGTTATCTCATGTGCAGAGAGGCTGATGACAGGCAACAAGGAGAATATTGGCCCATACCCATAAATCAATGCATCCATAACTCAAAGTGATCAAACAAATATCCAAATAGTTTCTTTATCTAACAGTTAATCAGATTAATACTATCTCTTATCTGAACACTTCTCCCTGCTCCATGTGTGTGTGTGTGTGTGTGTGTGTGTGTGTGTGTCTGAGTGTGTGTTGTCTGTTTCTGTTTCCAGAGGAGTCAGAAATCCTGCTGAGTGTTTCACCAGAGGAGGGAGTGTCTGATGATTTATATCAGTCTACTCCCTGCACAAATCATCTGCCTGCAGTCTGTCAGCTGTCTCTGCAGCGCCTCCATCAGGCTGGAACGCTTCACTACACATAACCATATCACCACATCCATCAGACTGTGCTCACACTGTGTGTGTGTGTGTGTGTGTGTGTGTGTGTGTGTGTGTCACACTGCCCTCTGCTGACACATCACACACTCTACAACATCCAGTCTGTCGGTCAACACACTCAGACAGTCAGGAGCTGTTTTAAAAGGCTTTGTCAGTATTTCAAGGCCCGATGTCGAGATACCAGGAACTGATGCTCTCATACTCCACTGGGCTTCACTTCCTGTCAGACTGCTCTCATTCGTTTAATATTGTTGCTTTGTCAGTGGACGCCAGTGTCAGATACCGACACACAGGCAAGGCAAGGCAAGGCAAGGCAGTTTTATTTATATAGCACCATTCATACGGCAATTCAATGTGCTTTACAAGAGAAATACATTAAAATAAAACATTAAAACACAGAGGCACCTCTCGCAGTGTAATGACATGTACCAGCTGCCATCAGTTTCTAAACTGCCAGTAGCTACCATAGTATACAGTAGGGTACAGTATTTTCACAGTACAATAACTGTCTCAGAAAATATTTCGGTTTCACAGTATCACATAATTCATAGTATTCCCAGTCAGAGGGATCCTCGCAGGTTATTGTTGATGAACAAACATTTTATCACTAAAACTGAAACCTGAAACATTTTGTTGATGAAGTTTGTGTAAGAAGCCTCCCCTTAAAAAATAACTCAATAAATAACTCAAATAAAGAAGAGATTCAACATCCAGTTGCTTTTTTTCTCTCAATATCGTAGAAAGTCAAATGAACATGGTGTGATAACCGCCAACTTTTATATCACGATATACCTTGAAACTGTTATATCACTGCAACCCTTGTTTAAAGGTAGTATAAGGCGAGCAGGAGAGGAGGTGGAGGTGTCAAACAGACTCCAAACTTTTACCTGGGAGCCCACTGTTTGTTTCCCGTGTGGCACCAACAGTCAATCCAGTTATTTTAATAAGAAAGTAGTAGGGCTGTGCGATATGACGATATATCGTGTGACGAGAGAAAAATGTCTTTCATATTTTGCTCTATCGTTTATATCGTTGTGACGCAAATTACACTTTTAATTTAATATTTTTCATCATTTGGAGTCTGTCCATCTTTTGCACGGATCACATTGATAAAACTCTTCTTGGCTTTCCAGTTCACAAAGCTTTTACGACAACTTTTTATTAACTGGATTAAAATGTGCTATATCGGGATATGAAATGAACTATATCATGATATGAGATTTTGGTCATATCGCCCAGCCCTAGAAAGTAGTGTGTTTAAATGTGTACCATACTATGGTAGTGACATACTTCATGTGACATTACATGACATTGGTACAAGCTTACTTGTTTTAAACCAAACCACCTGCTGTTGTTGCCTAAACTGAAGGAAATAAACTATAAAACAAAGTGTTTTACCTACTTTGTAAATTTATTCTGGAAACTGTGTGTGTGTGTGTGTGTGTGTCACAATTTTTATGTGAAAACAGAATTTAATTTGAAAAGACACAATACAAGTCACCAATTCAGTATCTGACCAAATGTCTCCCCTTCTGTTCCTGAGATATGACGTTAAAACATGATGATGTCACAGTTAAGCTGACCTTTGACCTTTTGACCACTAAAGTCTGATCAGTTTATTCTTCCGTCCAGGTGGATGTTTGTGTCAAATTCAAAGAAATTCCCTTTGCTCCTGAGATATCGTGTTCAAGAGAATGAGACAGATGCAAGGTCACACTGACCTTTAACCGGTGAAATCTAATCAGTTCATAGTTGAGTCCAAAGTGGGCGACTCTAATCTTGACACTGTGCTGATCCATTCTTAGAGAACATGGTATCTGTTTCCATTTTTATGCTGGTGACAGTCAGATCTATGTACCTTTAAAGCGGAAGGATGAATTCTCAGTAAAACCACTTCTTGCATGTCTTAATGACTTGAAAGCTTGGGTGGCCTTAAACTTTTTAAATTTTACTGAAAAGAAGACAGTGGTGGTGGTGTTTGGACCCAGTGGATCCTGTGAGTCCCCCCATATTGACGTGGGCCCTCTGACACCATATGTGAAGCCCCCAGTTATGAATCTGGGTTTTAGGATGGACAATGATTTTTAACTGGACAGTCGATTTAGTGCAGTCGTGAAGTCCAGCTTTTATCATTTAATGTGGTTGGCAAAAGTCAAACTCATTCTTGCCAGGCAGCAATTCGTAACAGTAGTCCATGCCTTTATCTCGTCTCGGCTGGACTACTGTAACGCACTGTACACTGGAATCAGCCTGTCTTCTCTCTCTCGTCTGCAGCTGGTTCAAAATGCCGCGGCATAACCTTTAACTGGAACACGAAAGAGAGAGCACATAACTCCCATCCTGGCCTCACTCTACTGGCTGCCTGTGCATTTTAAAATTATTTTATTTGTTTTAAAATCTCTAAATGGTCTCACCCTGCCTTACCTCTCTGAGCTGCTTCACCCTTACACTCCTGCCCGGTCTCTCAGATCAGCTGACCAGCTGCTTCTGGTTGTACCAAAGTCTGAGAGGAAGCTCAGAGGGGACAGAGCCTTTTCTGTCGTAGCTTCTAACTTGTGGAACAGTCTGCCGCTCCACTTTAGACAGGCTCCTTCTCTGTCCATTTTTAAAACCTGCCTTAAAACCCACTTTTACTCCTTGAGTATGAGACATTGATTCTCTTTGTTTTTATTGCTTTTATTGTATGAAATTGTTTTCATTTGTTTTACTGCTTTTATGGTATGACTGTTTTTTTTTACTTGTGTCATATTGTACTTTGGAGTTGTATTTTATTTTTTTGATTCATTGTGTTATCATTTGTTTTTATGTCCTACGTTTTCATATTTGATTTACTCTTGATGTATAGCACTTTGTTTCAGCTGTGTTTGTTTTTAAGGTGCTTAAGAAATAAAGCTGGATTGGGTTGGTTTGTGCAAAATGTGAAAAAATAAAAAATAAAATAAAAAAATCCCTCAATGCATTCCTGAGATATCGAGTTCACAAGAATGGGCAGTACGGATGGACAGACGCACAACCCGTAAACATTAGGCCTCTGGCCACAGCTGTTGCCACCGCAGAGGCCTAATAAAATCAATTTAGCTGCCAACAAAAGACTGAAGCGAGATGACCACAGTGAAAACATAAAACAGATGTGGACAAACTTTTTCTTTGGGGAAATAATAATCAAATAATTTGCAGATGAAATAAGGTAATAAATCGCATTAAATTGCAATGTATGTTCTCACACTCCTCAGCAGATCACAAAATAATAATAATAAACTGCTTGCTAATAAACTTGAACGTTTTTCACTGCGCTCCTAAATTCCTTTGTGGCATTTATTTTTCTATTCAGGAGCACATGAACTCCTTTTGGAAAAAAAAAAACAAAGGGCGTTTATTTTTTCTGAATAAATGATTATTGAATTTGTTGCATATTCTATATTGTATATTCTTTATATTGTAAAAAAAAAAAAAAACATGACTTGTTATGTGAAACATCCTGCAGGTGTTCTGTGGTCATACTAACTGTCAGTGAGTCTGGTTCAGATCCACAGCTGCTTTATAACAAACACACCAAACCACATCACTGGTACCTGAGGGATCTGAGGGACATAACCTGAGTATATATTAATAATCTATATCAGTCGTTCCAAACTGGTGCAGCCACAGGGTCCAGATCAGTCCTTCATCATTAGTTCAAGGTCCACACAGTATAAAATATTCAGTGCCAGTCTGTGTTTGGCCGTGTCATCCAGCTCGTGTCCTGTCTCTGTGACGTCTGTGAGCTAAAATAAAGTGGGTTTGTTTTTTTGTTGGTTTTTTTTTACAAACTTGACACGTCCGCAAGTAACATGTGGTCCACTCAGAATGGACCTGTGGCCCACTTTTGGACTGCGACCCATCAGTTGGGAACCACTTATGTATATGTTTCCATGGGGACACAGTGAGTCCGTTCACAGTGAGCTGAACGATGTGCGAGCAGCTCCTGTTCGGATGGACAGAGACCGTCAACTGAAGAAAACTTAAAAACACAATGATTCTTTTTTCTCTGATTTCTGAGTGGATTTACAGACGTATGTTCTGGATGGACGTCAGAGAGGAGGAGAGGTCACACTGACTGATAAACATGTTTCATGTCTGTGTGTTCACATTTCGCTCAGCGATGATGAAGAGGAGGAGGGAGTTGTTTTGAAACGCTCTGTTGGTTCGTAGAACAACAGCAGCAGCAGCGGTTTCCTCCGTCAGTTGACGATGGAGTCTCTGCTGGTCTGTCTGATCCTCCTCTCCGTCAGCGGTACGTCTCCTTTATTTTTACTTCAGTCATTTTTAAACTCTCGTCACATATTCAAATACTCACACATGTTTAAGCTGGTTATTAAGTGAAGCAGCTGTCGGCAGGATGAAGAGCTGTTTGTCATCTGAGGCCAATTTAAGGGATTTTATGCAGAAAATTCCTTCAGAGTAAAGCTTCCTGTCTGAAGGATTAAAAATCATCACTGAGACGTCTGAACGAGACTTTACATGATGAAAACCGCAGACTGAAGGATGGCTCAAATAAAACATATTTAGAGCAGAATTTCTCAATTATGGGATCAATAAAGGTGTATATTATCTTATCTTATGAGTCAGTCAACTGAAAATTAAACAGTTTTTTATCTCATGACTTCGACTTAATTCTGACTTTTTAACTCAGGATTTTGACTTTTAAAGTTCTAATTTTTTTTTTTATTTAGTGTCTCATAATTTGAAATATTATTATACTATTAAATATCAATAGTATTTCTATCTTAGCGTAACTGTATCTGTTCCACTAAAACCTGGCTCTGTCACGCATGTTTTATAAATACTCTACAGGTTAGGAACTGTCTCTGCAACTTTGATTCATTAATTTATTGTTTATTTGTTTGGATAGATCTTCAATAAATTTATTTGTTGTCTTTAAGGTTTCTGGTTGGAGCAGCCTGCCTCCGCCCTGCCAGCCTCCACTGTACAGGTGAGAGTCGGGGAGAACGCCACCCTGCAGTGCCCCCTGCTGGATGCCTTCAACGCCTCCACCACTAATGCCTCCAACACCACCGCCATCAGTGCTGCGTACTCCACCCTCAGCTGGTACAGGAAGACAGCAGGACAGAGTCCAGAGCTGCTGGTGACCATCAGGCGTGCAGACATGTCTAATGTGAAGTATGGCGCCGGTGTTGGTCCTGATAAAGTCTCAGCTGCAGCCAACGGCTCGCTGCTGCTGCACAACTCTGAGCAGAGCGACTCAGCAGTTTATTACTGCGGCATCACTCAGGGAGAAGACCCCAAGATGAAACCCAACGCCACAGGAGCTCACTGAGGATTGATGGGAACTCTGCAGCTGGTTACTGGCCTGGTCTGTCCGAGGCTGAGGAATGAAGCCAACAAAAACCACAGTACAGCTTCAGTTGTGACCAGACACAAGTTTCCATATGTCCCATACCTACAATCAGAAGGGCATTTAATGTTTTCATTGTCTGTATTTTCGGAACCTATTTTTAATAGGACTGCAACTAACGATTATTTTCACTGTTGACTAATCTGTCGATTATTTCTTTGATTAGTCGACTAATCATTTTATCCAAAAATGTGTTAAAATGTTGAAAAATGTCGGCCTGTCTTTCCCAAACCCCAAAATGATGTCATTTTGTTTCGTACTCACGCCAAAGGGTTTCAGTTCACGTCATGGGAGAGTGTGTAAAGCTGCCAATATCTGAACGTAAGAAGCTGCAATAGGAGTATTTTGGGTGCTTTATAGTACTTTACAATGAAAAATGACTCAAACCGATTAGTTGACTACTAAAATAGTCACCGATTATTGTAATAGTCGATTAGTCATCGTTTAGTCGACTAATAGTTGCAGCCCTAATTTTTAATCTACGATTTACAGTTTAGTGAGTGTTTTATTGTCACTGCTTGAAGTCTTCTGTATTGTGCTGCACTAACACTAGTCTGGGGCCGTTAGTGGCCGTTTTGGTAAGGAACTGGAACCAGGGCGAGTGAGACAGGACCTGGAATTCGATGGATGCGCCTTTCCGTCAAAATAAAAGCACCAAGCTAATAAAAATGCGGTGAAACTTTAATTTAAAGAATATAATTTACAAGAAAAGCCCCAAGCCATTAAGTTAATCGATTTTCTTACACCCCTCATCACCCCAAATCGATGGTGCGCCAGAATTCAAAGTTTTACTTTGGTGAACACTTTGGTGAATTCCGCATCTGCTCTCTAGACCGGAACCTGGTGAGGCGAGGCTACACTTACACCTGAACACTGTGGTTAAAGTTTGGCTGGTTTAGACACAAAAGTACCTGATGAAGAAAAGATGGCGGTAAAGATAACCTCACATATGACGGCCTGTAGGGACACTCAGGTGATTTCTACACAACACCAGCACAGGCTTTAACCACAGCTCAGATGATGGTATCAGTACAGTAGAGAGTGAAACCTCAGTAACATCACAGCAAAGAGTTTAATCAACACAGACACAGAATCCAGTCTGACAGGTAAACAGGAAGTCCTCTCAGGTGTATTCTCACCAGCTCAGTCAAACAGCCGTTTTCAGGTTTGTGATGAACAGACAGACAGGCAGAGAGACAGACAGACAGACAGACAGGCAGAGAGACAGACAGACAGACAGACAGACAGGCAGAGAGACAGACAGACAGACAGACAGACAGACAGAGAGTGTATCTGACTCACCTTCTCTAGAGTCCCCTCTCCTCCTTCGTTCCTTCATGGCTGTCAGATAATCCGGCTGCATTTCTTCCTGCGACGCCATATTGTTTGTTTACAGAGCTCCTCCTCTTCCCGCCGTTTATCAGCGCTAGCCAACAACATGTTAGCTAGTAGCATTAGCGACACTCTGCCGTTAACTGTAATCAGGTCTGTTTTCGGTCAAAGATCGATCGACTCACCTCTGTTCCTCCTCCTCAGTCTCGTCCCTTCACAGTTTCAGTATTAAATAAAACTTTTAAATCCACATTCACCTGTTTCTCTGGTGATTCCCTCACACTGTGCCCGCACTGAAGCTGCAGTACCGTTTCTCACCGCTCACACTGACTGACGTTAAACTGTTTCAGTCAGGGGGGCGCTGTTTCACTGATTTACAGAGACTCCTTTTTTACTTTATTTAAACAGAGCCTCGTGACAGTGTGCACACACGAGTCTCGTTCACAGGTTCAAATAAATAATCATAATCACTTCTTTAATATATTTCTTATTAACTTTCATTATTATTTCATTTTGTTTTTTATTTGTGATTTTACAAAAATCTTCATCCTGGTGCAACTGGAAGCTTTCCTTCTGAGATCTTTATTTCTTTAACTTAATAAGCTTAATCAAGGAGAATACATGTGAAATAAAGTTTTCAATCTATTATCTGTAATTGTGTCATATTGTCTGGAAACATCTTGGGTTGGATCATGGATCATATCAATTTCATCTCTCTGTGGAAATATTTCCATTCTCTTAATTTGGGCTGTATACTGGCATATAGTATACAGCATATTAGTTGTTGTCTTGGTTTTTTAGGGACTGTTCTTTACTTATCAGAGAAGGGATGTGAATTCATTTTTTGTTTATTTATTTGTTTTATTCTGATCCTCCCTGAAGCTACAAATATTTTATATACATAAATTAATTATTAGATTTTGAAAACTCACCGTTTATGTTTGAAAGTTAGAAGTTGAAGACGAAATCCTGGAGTTGATAAAAGCCTCAGTTTTTCACGCTTTCAAACGAACAGTTCGTGCAAACGGGTTTTTTTGGGGGTTTTTTTCTTCCAAATTTTAAATGTAGAATAATTGATGTTGATGAAATATCAGTATTTTAAGCTCTGATTTAGTTATGCTTTTTCTCCTTTTTCACATGATGTATCCACAGACCATCTGAAATTTGAAAATCTAACAATTATCCCTGCTTTTATGGTTTCTGGCTGATAAATGGTGTAATTTTGGCAATTTATAAAAAAATATGTTTTCCAAACCTGCAGGTGGATTAAGAAGACATATTTCCTCTAAAAATCAGCAGTAAAATAAATACAAAATAGAACCATTTAAATCTGCATGCTCCTCCCCTCAGCCAAAATAAAAGCATAAATTCATCCCCAGTGCTCATAAAAATCATTTGACATGCTTCCCCCAATTTTAAATCCACTCAGTCACCTCTCATAAATAATGAACAGTCCCTTGGCAGAAGCATTTTTCCAAACATTGGATACTGATATCATAATTTCATTATATTCTAATGGTGTACGTACTGGACCGTCAACATGTGACATCTTGTGGAAGGTCATTGTCTGGTTATGGCTAAGTATTGAGTCATTTACAAATATCATACTTTAAATAATTGATGACTTACACAGGACTGATCCTTTAAAACAGATTATTATCTGTTGTAACATGCTGTCCAGTTTATTCTGGGGGTGGGCTGATGGTACTGTATCCACTCTGTGACAGCATCTTCCATCAAAGCTGACATCTAGGGAAATGAGTCATTTTTTGTAGCCAGATGAAAAGGGTAACTTTTATGGAGAGAGTCCTTTTCAAAAATATGGTGGAAGCTTTTAATTTATCTTTGTAGAAACCAGTGTAAGTTACAGTTTGAACTTAAAAAATGTAATGTCCAACCTGCCTTAAAATTATAAGTTGACTGAATTAGAGAAGATAAGTTGAGTTAATTTGTAATAATTTTAACTTTAAAAAGTTAGTGTCCTACTGCCTGAAAATGCTAACTTGACTGAATTTGATAAGACTAAGACGTAAGAGCACAGATGGGAACAACCTCTGAGTACACAGCAAAATAACTGATCCATCAAACAAAAGGATTTTAACCCCTAGAACAGCTCAAACAACATATGACGGACACTTTGAGGGAAAAGTTCAATCCTTTAAGGTCCTTTAAGCCTCCCTCCTAAACTGTATCATATAAACGTGAATATTTTTTAAATGTTTTATACAGTTCATTAGACGGGGTGGGGAAAGAAGATAATATGTGGTGTTACTAATGGATTTATGAGAGCTTCTTTCCCACAGAGTCACAGGTTTTCAGGGAAATAGTATTTTCTCTGTTTTTGAAGTTTGCTTTGAAAATGTATTTTTGTGATATGGCTCAGCCTCTCTGGTGAACATATACCCACTTGTTAATTTAATGTTAGAGGTCCGTTCTTTGTCTCAGCTGTTACAGACAGTCGACCCTTCATTGACATGTGATGTTCTATATTCTGTATTAAACACATGAAAACAGTGTTTGTGTTTCAGAAACGTTTTGACGGTTGGATTTAAGGATCTTATCTGAGACACCAACAGAAGACTCAACAGCAACACCAAGAAAATTTCCTGTTTGTGTGTCCGTCACCAACGGTCGATCTGATCCCAGAGCAGCTTCTCTCCTCTGGAGACTGTCACCGTTCTGCTCCAACAGTTTCATCTTCCTGTTTTCCTTAAAGTCTCATTAACACACGGCAGAACTCACAGCGACTGCAACAGCAGTTCACCACAGAGAGCCTCACTGAGGTAGGACGACTTTAAAATGAGTTATAACGGCTTTTATTTCAGGTTAAAAACATGATTACTGACCTTTAAAGAACAAAAACAATACTGCATGGACTTCTGTTTATGGTACAAAAAAAAACATTGTTTGATTTAAAGTTTAAATCTTAATTATTTTGGCACGAGGGCTATTGATCAAGATAAACACATCACTGTGAGGGGCTGTATTTATGATTAAAACCACAGGAGCTTACATTAGTTAGGCTACATTAACTTATATCTTTCTGAAAGTCTTACAGGACTTTTATTTAAGGTAAAACCATCATTAGGAGGACCTTAAATTAAGATAAAAGAAAAAACAGGATTGACAGTACTTATTATCCTTATGATGGAATTTGTTTTAATAAATGCCACAAAAAACATCATTTTTTCTTTTAATAATATAACCAAAATCAAAGTGTTCATAAATATGTTTTTAAACCTTAAATAAAATGTTTTTAACATTAATATGATTTTATTAAATGTTAAAACCATCATTATAAGGGCTTTACATAAGGGTTACTAATCAGTCTTATAAGGACTTAACTTGAATTTCAGGTAATAAGGGACCACAATTATTAATGGCATTTTCATTTCAGTTAAAAACAGTATCTTATTTAAAAATGTAAAAAATCTTTCAGGACTTTCATTTAGGTTAAAACCTTTATTTTAGTTGTTTTATAAAATAAAAATTGATATTATTTGGGCATTTATTTAAGAAGAAAACATCATTATAAGTACTTTGATGCAAGGTGAAAATCGATTGAATTGATTTGGCATTGTTGTAAGGTAAAAAAAGAACCATAATTTATTTATTGAGATAAACACATCACTAT